AAAAACAGAAAGTCTCTTCTCTTACATGGTAAGCATTAAAACAACTGCATGTTGACTTTGTTATCCGTAAAAAAATGATTGAATTTGAATTCAAATACAGGTTGATCGAAAATCTGAAAACTGTATATGTTTTATATAACGTACATATTATTATCCATAATGTTTACACATATGAAACTGTATATGTTATTATACATAATGTTTACAAATATGAAAACTGTATATGTTTAGTTTATACAACGTATATATTATTATCTATAATGTTTACACAGACAAAATTGTATATGTTTAATTTATATAAGGTATATATTATTATCCATATTTAGTTTTTCTTTTATTTTTTTCTCCATCGGAATGTCGCTGGGTCGTCGCTTTCAACAAGTTCGTCGTCAAGTTACATCTCCTCAATGTCAATTTCTTTGTCTTCAACAAAATCAAAATCTTCGACTTTAATGTGCTTTTTATTTTCGCCGTGGTCGCTTCTTTGCCAGTGGAATTTTATGGACGTCGTCGAAGATGTTGGAGCAGACTTTTATTCGCCATCTTTATTCCAAGATTTTTGTAGCAACTGACCTTCGATTTGTTGTTGGATATCAAGCTTTTCTTGGACGAGTTTTCGATCAATATTAGGCTTTATTTGTCGGAGACAAAAATTATATCTCAATTTTGGTCCGTCTCCGTCTCTGCCAGATAGAATACTACTGACGATGTGCGGGGGATCTACGATTACAATTATTTTTTGTTGTGTTTTTTTAGAGGCAGACAGTAAACAGGCGGAGCTATAGCCCCTCCAGGTGGCCCACCTGGAATTTTAAATTTTTAAGTTTTATAATATATGTTTCTAAAGGAATAACCATAAATTGTGTAGTTTTACAAAAATAATCCGTAAATGAAGTTGTTTATTAATTAGTTTTTTTTTTTTTTTCTTGTTCTCTCATATTAATTTTTTTTTTATTACAATGTTTTATTTATCTGTTATATCTGTGTATAATTCTATCAAAACATCGCATGCTACTATAATAACTGTTATTGTTGCCAATGAAAATTCATATCAACTACGAAATTAACTAAGAAATAGAATTACAATAAATAATTTGCTCCAACATATTGAGAAATATTATCTCTCTTCTACTCATGTCGAGTACAATTTAATATTGAGAAAAATCATGAGATATTAGCATATATACAACTTAATGTGTTTTCATTGAGTAGATGAATATTTTTGTTTTGATAATAATACATTTCTAGTCATCAGAATGAATATAATAATACTGAAATTTACAAAATATTAAAAATATTGTATAAGATTTCATCTTGAATTATATCAAAAAATTAGAATGTATGTATATTGTTACTTTTTGTCTTACTTGTATCATTTTTTTATCGTCTTTTCAATTACTACAAAAATTCAACCCCACCTCATTCTATTTGCAAGATCCGCCCCTTACAGTAAAGAGGGAAAATAGAAAAGAAAAAAAAAAATGATTGAGGAAGATGG